TCTGGTCCAGGTGTTTAATTATTTCGGAGTTCTTTAGCTGCGATCGAAAGTTCTTTCTTCGTAAAAGTTTGAATATTCTTCAAGTGAACTTATGCGACGTTTTCGTCACTCCTGATCTCGTGGTTTAGAAACTGGGTATTAGTAATTTCGTTCATTTTCCCTTCTTCTAGATCACTTACTGCTGATTTTACTCCTAGTTTAATAGGATCATGATTTATGTCATTTAAAAGTTGTTCCGATTTTCGACAATAATGACATCGCCAAGGAACCATTTCTATAAATCTGGTAATAAAAGTAAAGCTCGATGTTTAGTGCCTCATTAACTAATTAAAAGTAATTTAATAAACCAATTCAGTGAAATCATTTTGAAACGCATGGATTTGGTATAAATTTAGAGAATTTGGGTGTCCATTTTTGATGCATATGCCCTATAGCCGTTAGATTACAGCGTCAGATTATTATTATTCTTCCTATTTTTGTACCAATCTCTTGCTAATATAAAATTTAACTAAATAAACTGTGAAAAGCACCTGTGCTAGTTTTTGAAATGTAAAAAATCTAGGAATTCTATAATAACCAAATACTGATTCCCAACGAAAAATGGCAAAGTGTTGTTAAAAAAGATAGTATTTATATTTAGGAAATCATTATTTTCTTTAGAATTTCTACACATTACCTATTAATTATTACTATTAATTATTGAAGAAATAAACAAAGTTTAAGCTACGATAAAAAGTCAGAGAAAAAAATTTGTTAAAGAGCATAATATTCCAGCACATCAATGCTTAATTGGAATATTTTACAGCGATTATGTTTCAGGCACGACAGCAATTGTTGCTAATTTGTTGCTTGTATTGACTTAGCAAACAACAAATTTAACAACAAAAAAATTTAACAGCAACATCAAGTGTACATGACTGGCATGTTCTGCAGATTTAAGTACATTAATGCCGTTACAAATTTTTTGCTTGCAGATTTGTTCGATTTTTCACAACTTTTATTATTAATTATAGAAAATATTTGCAGTTTGTGGAAGAGCATCGCCTGACTTTGACTTATCAAGAAATGCATCAAGCGAATGTTGCTGATGTTTTTAGTTCAATGTTTTTGCTAGTAAAATTCTTTTACTACATTTTTTGGTATGTACCCCTGTTGGCATGTTGGCAATTTATTAAAAGTATGCCAGATTTAAAAATATTAAAGAAGAAATATTCGAGAAATTCTATTTTAGATAGGAAATTTAATTAAAAATTTAAAATTTAAATTTAAAGCTAAATTGACTTATGATTTGTAGTTACTTCATAAATAAATATTTATTTCATATCCATAATTTGTCTTAAGCGTGAAGAACAAGTTGTTTTGTATTTTGTTTTTACTATTTATATAAAACATTTTAAGTTTTATCTTTACCATATATTCTTTCATGTTGTCTTTAAAATTAACCATAAATTAATCAGTAGATCTATAGACTTTTTTGTTATATCTAAACTGGTCATTATATTCACAACTAAAAAATTATAAAATTAATAATATTCAGCGGCTTCCGGTTTGAAGATTTGTCTTCAAGTAATATGCTTAATAAAAGAAATCATACTTTTGTGGTATAGCTTGAAAGTCAGCTATCTACAAAATATTTTATAATCAATATGTAAAACTTATATGTTAGAAATCTTAAGTATTATTTATTATCATTTATTGAAGATTTTTTCATATAAACTAAAAGACAATTTGTGAATAAATAGACACAGATACCTACAGGCAAATAAAGAGATAAAAGTTACAAATACCTTAATAAATTTAGTTTATACTTTTCACGATAGCCTATATAAATAATATGTGGTCAATTTCCAGTAATTATAGGACTACAGTAAGACCCCGCTTAACGCTTAGGATACGTTCCATCAAAATAGAGCGTAATGCGAAACAGCGCTAAATAAGGCTATGAGGCTAGAAGATTGTTTAAGTATTTAATTTAATAATTGTTTTTTTTTTAAATAATAAAACCGAATATATATTTCTTATAAAAACAAAAACAATGTAAACGAATATTGTATATAAAAACAAAAAAATTCTAAGCCAGTCAGATCATTCAGTCTATTCTGTGTTTCCAATTTTAAAATTTTAAGTCATTCAGTCTATTCTGTGTTTCCAATTTTTTGCTTGCGTTTTACTTTTCTGCTAGAAGTTGTTGATAAGTGGATAAATTTGGATTATTTTCAACAAATTGGTCCATAATTTTAGTTGTAGTGTTCTAACTCCTTTTTACAAACCCCATCGAAAGATCTTTTTATTCTTCTTCGAAATTACTACTATCAATATTTTTGTTTTCTTCTTGCTCTGTTAATTCTTTGAAGCTCATCATTAGAAAGACTAGCTGTTGTTTCTTGAACTATTCCTTCGACGTCTTCCACATATACCATAACTAAACCGGTTTGTTTCGCTAAGTCCACTATTTCTTCCACTATTTTATCCACATCGACAGAGCGTCCGATGTCTTCGCTCTTACTTAAATCTAGCCAAATGTTCTTCCATACTTCTTTAAAAGATCTTTCTGGTATCTCATTCCAAGAAAGGTTTTTTTTCTACAGCATTCATGATATTGTGGTTTTTCCAAAATTCTCTTATTGATTGCTTCTCTCTTTCGTCTGTTTTTTCAAACATCTGCTTAAATGTTGAAATAAAAGAGCGCTAAACCGAAACAGCGTTAAACGAAACGACGTTAAGCGGGGTCTTACTGTACTTATCACAATACCAATACCTTTGCAATTAAATTTAGTTTGTCATTGACTAAAAGTCCATAAAAGTGCAATTAATCCCAACTCTTAAAAATAACATTTTAATACTTTTCAAAGATGAATGAAAATGTGTTCTGAGTATGCAATGAGAAATGAGAAACTGTATAGACTTCTTAATAGATTCTTATTAAACTTTAGTAGGGTAATTTAAGTAGGGTATCTAAAATATTACTATTGAGTTTTCTTTAGCCGCTTTTATTCTTTTAGCTTACTATTCTATAATTATTTTCCTTCTAGTATTGTCAATATCAGTACAAGAAACAGAGTTGCACATCTTTTCTTACCCAATGCGCCTATCAATTCATTACTATAAATTTTAACCACCTCATACCATAAAGTTTGTTTAAGGTTCTAAGTACGTTTCCAATCAGTTAAGCTCTGTTTTTTTAAAAATTTGTAATATAAATTAAGCATCATTTAGTTCTCAGATAAAAAATCGGTATTTTTCTCAGTTTATTGGAAAATAAAGTTCTAGCTTCAATGCAATCTTATATTATTTCTTGATATTTTATTTTTACTCAAACCGTTTGATTCCTTAGTGTAGCTAACACCACAATTGGATATGTGTTTAAAAATTATCCTGATAAATTATAATAGCAAAACATGGGCTCAAATATATGTAACCCAGTGTTAAACTCTGGTCTATCCTTTAAACTGCTGATTGTGTAATTCAAGGTATTGTATTTAATCCCCAGATCTCGAAGTTCCCAAATTCTATGTTTTTTTGACTATATAATGTAATGGCATTAGATAGCTGTTCTGTTTACTGAAAATTTTTGTATGTTGAAGATATTGAATTAAGAATTATGACATTATTGTTTATCATACCATTAGATAAACGACATCTAGATAAACGAGATGTCAATTAATAAGATATTACAATTAATAACAATTTTGTGAGTTCTAAATTAGCCATATATGAAGATATTGACCTCTAATGCATTTCATGTCTAACTTCTCAAATATTATGACTTGCAACTTTCATTTTACAGCAAATACAAAAAATTAGAAGGTAGTCGGAGCTGTATCTTATTGTAGAGAAATATTTACATATAAAAACATAATTACACCAACAAATTATAACTCAAATTGTGTTAATTTAATTTAGAGGTACTTATTAATTAAACAAGAGATGTTAATACTTTTTTGCATGTTTTTATAATCATAAAAAAAACTTAAAATAGTAACTGAGCTATGCTTGCGTAATAAACTGAATGCAATGTAGTTGAAATTATAGCGAAATAAAAATACTTTTACAAAAATAAACATTATAATAAATATATATCTATATACACAGACGTTCATGTATATAAGCCCGTAGCTATTTAATATGATACCAAAAAACAAACAGTTGAAATCAACGAAGCTCATTTTGGAGAAAAGCATTTCTACTGATTTTGAGTTCATTAAAACTTAAGCTGCCGTTTTCTTTCCCCTTCTAACCATCAATAAGTATAAGTATTCATGTATCCGTATCTATAAGTATGTATCAATAATCGAGTAGTTGCTGCAAATTAGTATATTTGCTATGGTATAGTAAACAATATTATGAATCAATTTTAATGGTCACACTTTTAGGTTGTAAGTCGATGAATAGGCAATGAAAGAAAAGCCCTATTTTAAAAAGTGGCGACGGCGCAAATCTTCCATAATTGATTGGTCACGCGTTTCTTCTTTCTATTTCTCTATGTTATTATTTAGGAATTGTAATTGTAAGTTTCAATTGTGGTCCGCGTTGTTTATTTCTAACAATGAGAAAAACAAATATAAGATTTCACTGTAAATGTGGTTTCTGATAACATTACCCTCCAAATGAAGGAAGAAAGCATTAAGTATATGATTTAAAGGTTGTATATCTAACATACACCTATAATTACATACTCATAAAAATATAAATTTTGAGTTAAATAATTTCAAAAAATAATAAATATGTATTTAAATAAAGCTTAAACATTAAAAAGTGAAAAAAATTTAGTTTCACATAATATTACAATTTTTATTATTCACTAATGTTTATAACAATAAACATTGGGTGTTTAAGTTCGTTAGGTTATTGTCCTTGGGCACACAACAGGTAAGTCAACTTTTTACACGGCGCTATCAAAATTGTCTCAAAATTGTTAAACGATGTTTTTAAACCAAATCCACGTAAGGTGCACGCATGGTTAGGAGCATTCTTTCTGATATGTAGATATGTTGGTCAAAACACTTAAAGAAAATATATTAACATACGCGTCAATTATACTACAATTGACTTAAGCGTAAACAGAATGTCCGCGTCCAAGAATATTGAATAAGCATTTATTTATATGAATGAAATATTGGAGAGCGACGAATTCCAAAATTACTTATATATTACAGTATTAAGACCCCAATTCTTCTTTTTCGGTAATGAGTTTCCTTAGCGCTTATGTTAGTTATACTCATATATAATTGATCAAAGTGGCTTTAACCAGATACTGAGTTTAGGTAATTTG